GAAGTAGCAAGTGTGGCCCAGACAATACACTTCCCAGGGCCCGCTGCTAACTTGGAAATCCAAACCGCGAAAAAGCAAGCCAGCAAGTGTAAAAGGATCTGCCCCCACTTGGTGGGACTCTGCAAAGCTCCAAGTGGAACAGAAATGTACAGCTAAATGAACAACTTTTTGTGGCATGGTTTAATTCTTAAGATAGCTGTGTGTCATGAAGACTCTCTCAAAATCAACATGACAGACTTCTGTGCTTACTACTGAGTGACTCGGTGTTGCCCCGACTGTCTCCTTTAACAACCTGAGAAAGTACTAGCAAAGCAATCAACGCCTGCAAGACTAATAAAGAGCCAGGCTGTGAACGGTCGCAACAGCTTTATTTCTAACAGCCAAACTGGGAAACAAGCCAGACGCCTTTCAATCCTTCTGCAGTCTTCCTTAGCACAAGCTACAGACTTTCGGCTCCCAACGATGTCTACCTCTCATGAGCCACCCCAACTCGAATCTCATCTGTGCCCCAACATCCAGTTGGAAGTCCTTCCTCTCTCACAGCATTTACGTGGTAACTCTCACAAATGTCTCCTCTCTACCACCAGACAGTAACACACACCTCGAGAGCAGGAGCGCGCCCTCTAACTTGGCATGCTGCCTCGTACCTCACAGGGCTCAACCAACGTCAGGTAAAGCACGTCTTTCTGATGGAGTCAATCTGAGATTGCTAAGTGACACACTTACCTCCTAGAGGTAAAGTCCATGACTTAGTAACCCTGCGCCCAAATAAAGGACCCAAGACCTAACAGGTGTAACAGGGAACATTTAAACTGAACGTCTTTACCTTCGGTTCAAGGATCAGTTCCACACGCTCATTAGCATCATCTTCTTCAGAGTCTGAGTTTCCTGCTTTTATATCGAGCTGCTCGAATGCACTGTCCAATACTTGTAAACCATAGTTCACAGCCTCCTGCACTTTAGGAATAAGATCTACTTCCTTCTGTTCCCGAGTCTTCTCCTAAAAAACAAATACCATGCAGTATGAATCTCCAATATATGGATATCACCCAAAGAAAACACTGAATGTTCGCTAAAGCCTAGCCTTGCGCTAAAAAAAAAAAATTTAAAATATCAAAGTCAGATTCTCCTGAATGCCTTGACATAGACTTCACAGCAAGACTGCAAGTTTTAAATACCAAGTGTGCCACTTTCTGGACGTGCATCAAACTACCTAAGGTCCTAGAGCTCCTGTTTCATTGTCCACAAAATCAGAAGGGCAACTATTATGTGACGGTTCAGCTAGAGGAGGTGTGTAAAAGCACCCAAACAATGAATGGTCTCTCCCCTGATACTACAGGAATAAAGGGTCCTAGACCTTAAAGTTCACCATGACTACCAATATACTGGAGATTCAGACTGCACAGTATTTGTTTTTTAGGAGAACAAATGGTATTAGCCTTGGTTAACACCCCTTGGACAATTTTAGGAGTTGAGACTTGGGAGAAAACACTCGTGCCAGAGATGTCATTTTCCAATTACAGTAAAACAAAAACAAAAAACTGGATGATTACAATTGCAATATTTTATCAATTTGTTCCCTACCAAAAGAAGGTCAGTTTCATCTCTAGTCTATTCTATCACCCTAGAACAATGCTTCCCCTTAAAAAAAAAAAATCCATTCATATCACCAACCTACTGAAAATTTCCCGCAGGTGTCTACTTCCTACAACAGCAGCTCTCAGTGACAGTCCCGATACACAACTGTGCCATCAGTTGTGAGAAATACTTAAAAATATGTAGTGTCATATTCTATCCACCTCATGAATATTCTAGAAGTTGTTACATAATTACAGAAGGAACCAAACCATACAGCATTGCTCTGAGGGCCAACTATCTTTTTCTTGGGTATGCACGCTTCTGAGTTAAATACTTACTACTGTACTGAGTCTGTGGAAACATGTTTGTGAAATATATACATAGTGGCTTTTAAAAAATAGTTCACTAAGTATCTATCATTTTCAAATTGAACCCTGAACCGGTATAACCAGATACTGCTATGCTTCAATGGCTAGCAAATCCTTGAGTACTACTAAAAATTAAATTTATTTTTT